GCAACCGCGACTTCATTACTGGCATTGCTGCTTGTAACGTATATTCTTGTGTTTGTAAATATGCAATGAATTCTTGTGACAAGGTTTGTTGTTGTTTGTTTTTTAGAACAATATGTGATGTTAAATCCAAAGATGTGTTTTATTAAGCTTGATAATGATTCAAATCATGTGTGAACACAAAATACTTAAGATGCTTGTGATAAGTGTTCATTAGACAACAATGTTATTTTTAAAATGAATTTATTATTGTTAGAATTTCATTGGTATAAATCTCATGAATCATTTCAAAATTTTCTTGAATCAATGGCAATAGGATGAAGTATAATATTTGCATCTATTTGTAATAGGATTGCACCTAATGCAAAGTTTGAAATATTAAAAAGAGCTTCAAAAAATCCAAACAACATAAACTAAGATTTGAAACAAAAGTTGTTAGCAAACCTTCAAATATAACTTTTGCATCTTAACTCTATTCAAAATTTGTCTTTAGAAGTTAATTGTGTTTGTAGAGCACCTACTTGAAAGAAGTTCCTCATAAATATTCAATAATAGTTTGTAAATCTTAAAAAGCGTTAGACATCATATATAATTCTTGTGGTTATTCCATCCATGATAGTCTTTATTTTCTTAAACTTTTGTTACAAACCATCATTTAAAATAATATATTGTAAAAATTCTATTTAAATTGTATAAAATAAAAAATAAATATCTATCTTAGTATATAATCTTTCATTTCTAAGTTTTTTTAGTACAAGACAAATATGCCATTTATGTTTTTCTAGTTTCTTACAATTAATAAGAATGTTATTTAAATAATAAACAATAATTTATTTATTTTTTAAAAAACATAACACACAGAATTTTTCAAATTCTAAATTACAACTAGAATATTTCTAAATCTAAAAGACATGATATTATATTCAAAATAGACATACCTAATTGAAAATATAATTATCTATTTATATTCTTCTTTAATACATATCAATTAGTGGATTCATAGTAAATCTATTTTAGTATAAAACTTAGCTTCAACTAATTGATTAAAGAGCCTCAATATCAAAAGAAAAAGATAAAAATACTTAATAATTAGTTTGTTGAGTTAAGAACAATCTAAACATATTTTTAAGGATTTTTTTTTTTTTTTTCTCTAAAAAGATAATTTGCATACTTATTAAAGATTTTAAATATTTAATGAAGTTTTTTATAAGACTTTTATCAATATATTTCTTCAAAGCAACAAGATTATTTTGTATCAAGTTATAAATCAATCTAAATGATAGTTTAGCTATGTTTTGAGAATCCATTACATAATCATAAGATTAGTATTTTGGCAATATATCATTATTTTATAAAGTTTTTTTGAATAAATCTTAATATTTTTCATATTGTCTTAAGATTCTATTGCAACCTTGTTATGAATGAAGGCTTCATACTACAAAAATGATAAATGGATTGTCTTCTCTTTTCACATGTATAAATGCCATAGTTTCAATGAATAAAGATTGAGATGGTTTTCTTGCATTTAGTCTAAATCTTGAAGTGCCCTTTTGTAATTTTTAGTCAATATTAAGTTTGAAACAAGGCTTAGGATATAGAAGTAGTATTATCATGTAACATGAATTCTTGCTTGAAAATTTATGAGGCACCTAGCTGTAGAGAATAAATAGAAAATGCAACAATAAGAGCCTTTCAAATCTAATAGAATCTTAATTAAATTCTAAGTAATGCTTAAAAATCCTAATCAAACTTTAATGAATCTAAAAGAAATTTTTAATAAAAATCACAAAAAACAAATAAAGAAGCTATAAATTAATTTCAAAGAAAAATAATAAATAAATCTTAAAAAATAAAAAATAAAATCCCTAAAATAATAAAAATAATTTTTTTAAAATACTAAAAATAAAAATCCTAAATAAATATTATGTAAAATTTAAATAAATCCTAATCAAATCCTAGTGAAATTTTCACAATCTTAAATAAATCCTACTGAAATCCTAATCAAATCCTAATTAAATATAACTATATCGGAAACAAACCATAAATTAATCCTAATCAAATCCTATCAAAGTCCTAATGAATTTAATATTAAAATTTAGACGAAACTCTAATCAAATCCTAATGAAATCCTAAATCCTAAACCAAATTTTCATGAAATTTTATTAAAGTCATAAAAAAACCTAAATCCTAAATCAAATCCTAAATGAATCCTAATTAATCCAGAGAAAATGTGAAATAAATCCTAATAACTTTTCTAAGCTATATTTAAATCTTTAAAAAGTGTTAATCAAATTATTGATCTTTACTAAAAAAATTCTCACATTTCAATCTGTAAGTGATTGGTTGCTACTCGGCATCATGAGGGGGCTCATTTTATTACTCTATAAAAGAGAGAGAGATGTCACTTTACAAATTAGAGGCCCATTATGCTACTAAATATGGTATATAAACTTGTTGCAAAAGTTCTTTAACTTTGCCCACAATCTGTCTTAATAGAAATCATTAGCTTTCAGTAATCAATATTCTTGCCAAAGCACTTCATCTTAGATAATATTTTCTTGATCCATGAAATTGAGAACCGAGTTGTTTATACCTACCAACCTCTTTTTAAAAAAAAAATATATATATATATATATATATATATATATTTCTCGTTTTTGCTATAGCATCTCTTGGCTTTTCCTCAGAGTTTATTTCCTGAACCATCTTTACCATAGAAGGTGGAGTAGGAAAAGTGGCCATCAAAACCTTATAAGTTTTTGGGGATTCCTTTTGACCAAAGTCAAGCTAGCCCTAATCAACCACAAATGGGTGGGGTGCTTTTTTGGAGATACTGATGGCCCTCCCTTTTATGTCTTTTAGTTTGTCCGCCACTAGAGTGGATTGACTTGGAAAGCATGCCAATATTCATGGCTCTGCCAACCTTGAACTACTTAGCCAAGGCCTCACTTCTCCTTCTACCACAAGGTAATGGGAGTCTCAAAGCCTCACTTCTTCTACAACAAGGTAATGGAAGTCTCAACTATGCCACCATATAGGGTACCATATGGCAAGTGAGAGTTATGAACACCACACTAGGCCCATGTAAGACTCCAATCTTTGTGCTTTATGGCAGGGTGGATGGATTAGTGTGGGATCCAAGTAGATTGCATTGGTCAGGAAAAGACTCCTTGGTTCTCTTCATGAGCTTCTTGGCCAAACTGGGCAGAAGTCTCCTTCAACAAAGGTATTTTGCCCCAAACTTAATCGAACAAATGTGGCAAGGCCTTCTTCCTCTTTACTTTCGCATGTGCTGGTCATTGATAAGGACCAAAGGGCGCACGCCAAAGAAGGCAGGCATCCTCAGATTGGTGTGGCATTGGGTGATCGCCGTCAATATGTGGTGGAGGCAAGTAAATACAGCAGTAGATATTCGATACCCAGTTTGCTTTAGACGCTCCGATGAATGCGTCCTACACAAATTTTGGAATGCCCCTTTGCCCGTAGGGCCTGGCAACGGAGCATTCACATCATGAATGTTCTCCTATCATTGCAAATGCACAAGGCCCTCAGCAAATGCTGACCTAGAAGCAAGGCAACTTCTCTGATCAAATCCCGAGGAAGTTCCAAAAAATCAGCCAACCTTGGATGGAACTTTGCACCGTCATGCTTTGGGCACTTTAGCTGGAACATGATGATGCGGTCTTTAACAAGGTTTTCTGGCCAGCAAAAAAACTCCTTCAGAAGATATGGTTAGGCCTCATTCACTACGGGCAAATGGAATGGGAGCGCATCAAGACTCAAAGTAAACGGGTGCCAAATAAGAAAGACAGGCGTGTTAGAAGTTTCTTCGATGGGTGGTGTAGCAAAGAAGTATTTGCAACATAGGATTGTGTTGCTTTTTGATTCTCTGTAATGCAGCAAGTGCATCATGCTCTGGTCAACTTGAAGTTGACCTGGAACACTCGAATTTGACCTAGGAAGTGTTCACGTAGCATGGAGATATACTTGTTTGACATAAACGAAAGCTTTGTTTCACCTGAATCTTGAAGAATTTTGAACTTTCCTCGTCCTTTTCAACTGCGAGAACGAGACTAACCTACTGCATCGAAATCAAATATACTGCTAGGACACGCGATTCCTACGCATTATTGGTTGGAGTTGTGGAAACATTCTGAACTGAACATGCTAAAGGCCTTCCAACTCTTTCGCAAGGTTCACTATGTTCTAACTCATTCAAACTGCTAAAAGTAGGAATTTCGCCTGATGATTACAAACATTCAGCATTCATCATGCTTGTCTGAACCAGTAACCTCAACTGTGAGAATATCAAGTATGGCTTCAATAACTTCTAAATAATAACTGCTCGTTGTTCACTTATTCGTGCTACTTCTCATACCAAAAAGCACACTCCTCTGGAAAATTGCCACTAGTGCAGAGGAAGACGAGAACACACCATGACGGGGAGTATATTGTCAGCGCATGAATCTCGCATTCATAGACACTGAAGCGATTGAACGGGACACAGGCATAACAGCAGGAGCTTCAACAGGTAGAGGATTCAAAGCGGATGTACCAACAAGTTCTCTTCTAGTCACTCATGCATCATCACATCGTGTTCGTATCACAAGAGCAAAGCAAGATGTTGGCAATACGAGAAACTGCAAGACAAAACATGCATTTCTGAAAGCAGTATATAAAACAGAAGCACCGAACGTCATTTGATCCGTCTTGACCAGAAGTAAAATTGCACTTCATTCTCATCTCCATCTGTGTCAAAGATCACGATACTTGAGCAAGAAACAAAAGCGCGACAGAACAGCCTTCCACTTCGGCACGTTTACATAGTCACTGATATCATAGTCACTCAATCTATGACAGGACGAATCTACAACTCGCTCCATATGGTTGTGAGACGCCAGGGAAGAAAATAATTATGAACCTGAACGGTCCGACGTTCAATGAACCGATAATGGAAAACATCAAAAACAAAAACTTGACAAGAGACTGACAGGCAACTGCTATAGAGAAAAATATGGGCTCAAATTGTTTACTTCAATATTGGATCAAATATGTACAAGAAAAGCAAGACCCATTACCTAGTTCCTCAGCGAGGGATCATTCATTGCTTAGACTTTTCCTAGCATTAGATCAGAAAAAAACAAGATTAGTGGACATATCCAGAACAAATGGATCCATGACTAGACGCGCCAAGAAGTAAAATATTACGCCAAGTGAGATCGATATCGGCAAGGCGGGAAGTGCCCGCTGCCAGACCGCAAGCAAAATCAGCGTAGCCCCTAGTCCCGCAACTATCGCGAGATAGCAAGCATACACAGTCATCAAGTCATACATGGCAGCTCGCCCCACCAAGACGCTGTAGAACACGAAATCTCCCAAACCCAGCTTGATCGCTCCTGAAAGTCCAATCCCAGTTTCCTCGTCACCATCTTCTGAATGTTGAGTAGCTCCATTCATTGGTCTAGATCGATGGTCAAACTCTGCTTCCGACCTGCCTAGAGTTGCAGGGCTTGAGGGACTATTTGTTTGCTGCTGTACCAAAGGAACCGTATCATCATCCATATGTGAATTCTCATGTAAAATAATGGAGACAGCATGTAAGGCACCTCCTTCGCCTGTAGAAGAAATTAGTCGAGAGCCAATGATTCCAACTTCAGGTTCAGTTGGAGGACCAGTGATAAGATTTTGAGAGTCGTCCACAGCTGCAGTCAGAGTACTATCACGTTGTGATGCATTGCCAGAGGACATTGGGCTTTCTCCAAGCTCTGTATCCGGAGATGGGTTTGAGCTTCGAGACGCCCTCCGATTCCACCTTCTTACCCGGGGCCTCTCTGCATCTGATCCCATTTGAGCAGGCGAGGGGGGCATTTGCATTCTGCCTGAGACGGTAGGTCGAGCCTCGTAGATAAGAGCCGGAATGTCTTCGTCCCGCTCAATGGCCAGCTCCACGAGCAGATTAAGAGGACCCCTCGGCGTCAACACAGCCACAACATCATATGCTGCCATTGCCAGGAGCAGCACCCAAGTGGTCCATTCCGGGAGCTTCGTGAACCAGAAGGCCACCAGCATTCCAATGACAATTAAATACCCTTGAGTGACCATGATAGGCATTCGACAAAAGAAAACAGCCGCGACCCCCACGCTCGCGAAATTAATGGTACAAATCAGGAACGTTATAACGTCGATGGGGATAGAGTACAATTTTATTATCTGTACAGCAACGATTCCTCCCATCCAGGCTAGCACTGTGAATGCCGAAATCCCCATGTAGACCCGGAGGCATCTGGTGCACCGGTAATAGAATAGTGCGACCAGCATGAATGTCACCAGCGTGACTATGACCACAAACACAATTGCGTTCAACAACGCTCCTCCAAGTTTTTCAGAAAATGAGTCTGAGGCCTGCTCGTTGTAAACCATCATGGCTATGTTGGAAACCGGCGCATCCTCCCCACGAGGATCCAGAATGTGAACCAGCGTAACCACTAAGAACATACATATCGACACTGGGGTCACTATACCAACGATTTCACCTCCTACAACATCTAAAATCCCCTTCTCCATTGCTGGGGGGACAAACAAACCTGGCACCTATCACGACTCTAGTCGATCCTCTCCTTTGTTTATTCTCCCAAGTGAAACATGAATAAAAATCCTATGAAAGACTTCTCTTCAGAGTCATTCAACCGATTGCACAAATCCCAATGAAGCTCTTCCAAGCTTCAGCATCCTCAATTGTCTTTACCCCAGACTCAAAACACCACCACCTAACCAACGATCATTATCACTGACCTAACAAAACCACCTTTACCAAATCCCGCCCTTCAGACCCAACCTCCTAGGCAAGCGATTGTGCACCAAAACCCTAATCCGCTTCAATTGAGTTCACGGCGAAATCAATCCCAACACTCACCCAAAAGAGAAATTGTCACAAACACAAAAAAGAAAAAAGAAAAAACCCACTACACACGCCCACCGCACGCTAGCAAGCTCCAACTCCCCGCCACAGCTCACCAAAACCTGGCGTCGTCTTCCGATCCCGACTCTACGCATACGAAACCTGGAAAACTCACCTCGCAAAACTACAAGGATGAAACTCTCGTCGAAATCTCACGATGAGCTCGCACACGATGCAAATCTGCCACTGTGAAGTTCACAGTATCAAATCGAATGCGTCACTGGGGGCAGCAAGCAAGCAAGGCGAAGCAAGCAATCGGACGTGAGATATTCGCAGCGAAATTGTTATCCGAGAGAGGCCATGTGAATGCTTATTGCGTTCGTCGTCGCTTGCTCGCCCTAATCGCTTTTTGAAATCAGGGTGTGTCGCAGCTTCCCCCTTTCCGAGCCGTGACCCCCCCCCCCCCCCCAAATTCAGTCTGTTAATACTACAGCTTCGCCTTTCCGTGGATTTAAAATCAATGGTGATTCTCGTTTCATGTGTGATGTTGTCTACTTCATTGGAGTTGCTCAAAAGGCAAAATTTGGGCTAGTATGTGGTATCTTTGAAGATTTTGTATGATTTTGACAACGTTTGTATTTGGACTAGGTTTTCTTATTAATAGTTGTTTGTGAATGTGTTTGTGATGTCATGTGTTTTGAGACATATGTATTTCTAATTGTATTATTAACATGTTTAAAGTTTGTTTTGTGTTGTAATACTCATAGGTGTTTATATCAGGATCAAATTTGATGTTTGTATTTGAGAATTGTAGAGAAATTAGACTTTTTTTTCTTTTCTTTTCATTTTTGTCATCATGTAGATTGTTCTTTGTGACACATGTTTTAAATTTTAAAATGTTGACAGAAACCAAAACATGTAATTTAAAAAAAAATCCATATTAAGCACAAATTTATTATACAAACCCATATTTTTTTAGCATTATAAACTAAAAAACCATCTTCAATAGAAGTTCTCAGCAGAAACTTGTGTCATTGGACACACAAACTATTTTGATATAAAATAAAACATATACTTTTACGTTGTGAAAGAGCAACATCTGTTTTTAGCCAATGAGAAGACATTTTTATCTTGGCCAATGTCAAGGATGCTTTGCCTTTTTATCTTGGCTAATAAAGAGACTTTATTTTGTATCTTTGTCTCATAACTAAGCTTCCTTAATATACTTAAGTGTTTTACCCAAAAGTTCTCAAAGTTGAGTTGGGTGATATGCTGTTCTCAAATGAATATGATATGTTCAGTACTGATTGACATCAATGAAGAGTTGAGGCACCATTTGAAGTTCTCACCATAAGGCAAATCTCCCTTCCAATGTTGCAAAAAAGATGGAAGTTTCAAGTTGTCTAGAGTTAGTTTCTTCAAGTCCAGCCCTTAAGCCAAGACTTCAAGTTTCAGTACATTAAGTGTGTAATCTAGTAGTTCTTCATTTCATTATCTATGTTGCCAGGGTGTTGAGTTGCAATGGTTTACCATTATCTGTGAAAATGTGGTCATATTATTAATACCTTATAATCAAGTATGACTCAATGCTTACAATTTAGTCAACACTTTGAAGTAGAAATCACAACAAAGAGGAAAATGAGGAATGAGAATTTTATATGTGCCTCTTCCCAAAATGGGTTATGTTGGTTCATGATGACTTGATTTTGTATTAAGGAGAAGTGGCTCCAAAGTAGAGTTGAGAGGCCCTGTGACAGCTTTCCAAATGCTAAAGAAATGCAAGAGCTCCAACTTATTCAAATCATGAACACATTTATATAAATTAGTGTGTGGCTTGTGGATCTTGTAACAAAATATGAAGCATGGTTGAACTCTGTTGAACAGGATAAAGGGAAAAAAAAGTGCATTACAGGGCATGCACACAACCAGTCTCACAAAGCCAACTGTAAAACATGTGGGCTAAGATTTGCCATCCTCATATCTACAAATGCTATTTAAGCTTTTACAACAATTTCTTCCCAATTTCATGTAGGTTTCTATTTCTGCTATCAACTTAAATCACATTATGTGCTAGCTCCAATCATTTGAGGTTCTCGTTCATTTTTCACTTACCAAAATTGTTGGAATAACCATGACTTTTGGTAACAAGTAGAAGCACATTAGCTTTAGCTCTTGGCTGAACTTTGACTCAAAGATACTAAAGCCAGCCTCATTAGGTACTGCTACACCTCCCACACATGTAATATTGACAGCAAGTGACCAACCTCAAGTATCTATCTCTTCTCACTCATCTTTTCATTGCACCATGACTAGCAGCACCAACTTGATTTCTACTAAGTCCAAACTTGTAAGAGATGAGAACTATGATATCTAGAGTTTTATAATAAAATAGGCCCTTATGAGAGAAGTTTTATCATGCTATATTAAGAAAGAGTCATGTTCCATTGATAGACAATCCATGGAAGAATGCAACAACAAATCGTGTACACTAGTTAATTTCACAATTTTGTAGATCTCAATTTGTTTTCTAAAAACAAAACAAAATGCAACTCTAGGTCCCTCTAGAAGGTGCTCAAGGCTATGATAGTATCTATTAACCAAACTCCAAAGAATAATCTCTTGAGCTAGCTATTCAATACTTGCTTATCTTTGGATGACAATATAAAAGACTTTCCATGAACTATCAAAGATCTTGTAGATAAGCTTATATAAGCCAAAGTTGTTTGGATGGACTATGTTGCAACTCTTGTACTTAACATCCTTTTATATCAATATCTTTCATATGTCTAATCATTCATGGTTCACAAAAACAACTTACTTTCTAAAAATTAAAATCTTTTTTATTAAGCAATGAGTCTAAACTCTATATCAAAGAAATCAATTGTTACTCTAAGGATGTATTTGCAATTTGTAGTAACTCTTTTTATAAATCTTATTCACCTCAACTACATCTTAGCCACCTTTCTTCTATTTGATTATTATTATTGTCAATTCAATAGTGTATTAATTAAGAGTCAAATTCATCTTAGCAATCTTGCCAACAAAAGCCGTAGTCCATTGAATTTTAGTGCCACCACTTGAAAAGTTCCTACCAACACTATGGTGCTCTCAATCACTTGATAAGAGAATGTCCAATTTTATATTTCAAAAGAATGATTAAAATGCTCTACAATATAACTCCAAGACCTTTACAATTGTGTTTTCTTAAATTAAGCACATAGCCTTTGCATAGATATTAGATTTAATGATATTGACTCTAAATTTGAAAAAGATTTCTTGAAGTCTTTAAAATTATCAAATGTATTTGGTTAGGTTCTTTCTATTTATTCTACCACCCATGAACAAATTAGGTATCTTGACTCTGACACAACATCACACATAATCAAATCATCATATCTTCTAAATTTTTTAGAATCCAAATCTTTCATTAGAACAATTTGATTTATTCAAGGATAACATCACCATATACATAGTATAGGCCATGCTTCTATTTCCATTCACATATCTAATAAATATATTAATAATAATTGATATGTGGCCTTTTATTCATAATTTTTTCTATGATTTTGAATATATATATATATATATATATATATATATATTTCTATCTAAATCTTATTAAATCATTAATTATAGAATAAACAAAATATCTACACATGGCAAAAAATGCCATACCTTTAATCTTCAGTAACTTAAACTAGTTGTTGTTGAACTTATTAATTTGGTTTTTATAAGTTTTTCATACTCAGTTATAATTTTAGCTTAATAACATATCAAGACTCTAGTAGACAAATTCAAGCTATGGCACTTATGTCTCCATTATATCAATTACAATAAGCTATCTTCATTATCAACTATACACATTGTGATAGGTATTTTTTACTTACTAAAAGTTAAACTTAATTGAAAAGGTTTCTTTTTAAGTAAAAAACATAAACTAAAATTTCCAAAATTTAATTATACAAGAAGCTCTCAACCTCTTTAATTCATCTATGTAGAATAATGCGACTATTTTTTAGATATCAACTTTAGCCAGTGCCAAGCAGACACTTTTTAGTATAATAGAGCTGTAAAAAATGCAATTAGTTTCTTTTAGAAATAAGAAAAATCCATCTCTCTCACCAATACCTCACTTGACTTTTCATGAAAATAAATATTATATAATTCTTGCTATATATAAAATCAAATTCCACTTAATTTTTTTTTTTTCCATAAAATGTTCTTTGAAAAAAAATCCAATTTGACACACTTCCAAATCACATGATGCTTTGCTCAAATATACATCCTTGCAACTAAGTATACAAAATTTATAACTTATGCATGTTAGTATATCTTTACAAGCTATGATATCAAGATTAAAGCATATTACTATTATGATCTCTTGATCAATAAAATCTATTACTCTTGTAATATTATCTATGATAAGATCACCTATCTTATGCCATCAATTATCTTAGTAGCTCTACTAGTACTACAACTTTTATCTCCAATCATTCTTTATCAATCAAAATTGATACTTATTTCACTAGAAAGCACATTGTAAACTATCAAGCAACCATCAAAATAGTAGTCCTCTATTAATTAACATGAGCAAACCTCAAATGACCTTTTAACTCCAATTCTTTTTTCTAAAAAACTATTTGAAATCAAGACTTAGCAATAACAATCTCCTATCATTAGTCCACCACTTCTATGACATTCAAATTAAAAGATATAGCCTAACATCTATTATTTTGAGTTCATAATGATAATTTATTTAGATCTTCCAAGCTTAGTTGAACATAATAATAATAATAATATTATTATGCGTTAAATACTTGCTCATGATAAATAACCTCAAGTCATGTTAGACAAACTTACTAGCATTGAAAAGATAAAGACACATACATTTATTCCATAACTTACTGATAGTTTTATTATATGTACCAAATGGGTATTCAAACTAAAACCAATATCTAATCTAAATTAATCAAGATATAAGGCTTTCCTTCTAGGTTGAAAATTTCAATAACATGCTGACTTTGACTACAAAAAAAAAAAAAAAAAAAAAAAAAAAAATGATGATGATCAAATAAAATATCATTTCTATAGATAGTTGCTTCATTATTGCTTCCAACTTGTGTATTTAAAATTTTGATGTCAAAACAACATTCTTTTATAGTATCTTGCTTAACAAAGTCTAAATAAAAGAATCATTAAGGTTTACAATTTCAAAAGAGACAATTATATATGCAAGCTCCACAAAGCTCTATACAAACTCTGTTAAGCCTTAAGAGCATGGTTTAAAGCAATTGATACTCAATTATAAGAACAAGATATGACTAAAAATAAAGAAAATAACAACCTACTTATTTATAACCTAAAAGATAAATAAAACATGCTTATCCT